TTTTTGGTAACAAATTCGATAATACATTACCAGCGATCAAATTGAACTCGACAAATAAAGATCATGAAAAGTTTTTAGCTATTACTTATAAAAATCGTGCATCAAACGCAAAACATTCACTGGAATTATAAACAAAATATATATCAAAAGCACGAACATCTCTAAACATGGTTCAACAAAATAATAAGTTTAGCACCCTAAATCGTCACCACTTCTCAGCTCTCTTCCATGAATGCAGTCATTATCAAGTTGAAGTGGTATTCATTGTGAGTTTGCTCCACTATTATCGTCCTGAAAAAAGGCATTCGTTTACATGATACAATCAACACTAAATCAATCTTTTAAAATGAGATAGAAAGATCATTAGAAGTTCTACATATAACATATAATCAAATTCAACTTCTCAGTATGGAAAAATTAACTTTGGTCATGCCAATGTAAATAAATTATAAGAATCACATGAACCATAACTAAAAGCTTATTAGGGATCAAATAATCCTAAAACCAAATTTTAGTATCAGAAAACAAGCAACCAAACCAAACTATCATATCTATCATATGATTGTAAATGAGTAACCAAACCAAACTATCATATCTACCATATGATTGCAAATGGGTATTGTTTCTATACAAACTATTAGCCATATTGAAATCAAATATTCAAACAATTATTTGTACAACATAAATATGTCAAACTCAAGAATCTAAGTGTATGATTAAACAACTAAAGATTTTACCTCCAGTAATTCTTTGTCATTGGTTCCTTCAAGAGTCTGGCGGTCATTGAGTGATGAGGTTATTGAAGCCAATATGTCAGGAGAAATTTGATCTTTTAATAATTTCACCATTTACTTAACTGTCTCTTTCACAATCTGAGATGTATAAGGTTGTAGAACTTCATCAGGAATAAGTTGTACACCAAACTTAGGAGGTTGTTCTTTATTTTTGGTAGGCTTGCCCATAAGTTTGTGTTTTCCAACTTCTGGTAGTTTTTCCACCTGATTATGTAAAATATTAAAAGAACGTTTAAAAATAAAAATAATTATATGAATTCAAGTATAATACAACTTACATAAGAAGTCTTGTATTTTCTCTCATCACTCCTTTTGCGAGTTTCCATGTACATGGTTGTTAAAGAAGGTGGCTTTTTTTTCAACTTGTTCCTGTAAAAAAATAATTTAGCATAAAAAAGCACTTATATTTTATTTATTGATTAGCATACAATGTAATAATAGTTAAACTTGCTATTTAGAAAAAGGAATAAAAATATAATGGGAACATAAAAAGCATATACAATTCTTTACCAACTTTTTATCGCGAATGAAATAGGTCCCATAGTGTGTCTATCTTTTTGGGCTTCACTGTTCATTTTATTCTTGTCACTTTTTTCCTGTAATGAGATAGCATTATAATAATCTCTCCCTAAATAAATTATATATGTATATATAATGAACTACTAGAAATACCTTAACCTCCTCTAAACTCCAGTAGTTCAATAATTCCATAAACTGTGCATCTGAAATTGATCTTGGTCGACTTTCCCATCTATCTTCATCATTGTCATACTGAAAGTAGTGCTTCTTTTTTATCTAGACTTGTGAGCACGCCAAAGAGCACCAATTGAAGACAACACATATTCTTTCCCTTCATCCGAAATAATGAATTTCTTCTGAAAAGTATTTTTTGTATTAATTACCACATCTATTGTAGTGCTTATTTACAATGTGCTATTAAAATTATAATCGAAAACACAAAAATTGTGTACATA